GAATAGAATAGAATAGAATAGAATAGAATAGAATAGAATAGAATAGAATATGGAATGGGATAGAATAGAATAGAATAGAATAGAATAGAATAGAATAGAATAGAATAGAATAGAATAGAATAGAACAGAACAGAACAGAACAGAACAGAACAGAACAGAACAGAACAGAATTCTTTATTGGCCAAGTGTGATTGGACATACAAGGAATTTGTCTCCGGTGCATACACTCTCAGTATACATAAAAGAAAAGATACGTTCATCAAGAATCATAAGGTACAACACTTAATGATAGTCATAGGGTACCATTGATACAAGCAACAAAGTTACAGTCATACAGTCATAAGTGGGAGGAGATGGGTGGTGGGAACGATGAGAAGATTAATAGTAGTGCAGACTTAGTGAATAGTTTGACAGTGTTGAGGGAATTATGTGTTTAGCAGAGTGATGGCGTTCGGGAAAAAACTGTCCTTGTGTCTAGTTGTTCTGGTGTGCAGTGCTCTATAGCTTCGTTTTGAGGGTAGGAGTTGAAACAGTTTATGTCCAGGATGCCAGGGGTCTGTAAATATTTTCACAGCTAACATAACTTTTCTGGGGAAACTTGACATTTCACAATTGCAATTGTTTTTTAAGCAGCTTTCAGGACTATGGGTAAGGAAAAACGGAAGGGTGTATTAAAATGTGTATGTTTTGTGTGTATTAAAACGTGCCAAACTTTTGTGCCGTTTGATTCGTGCAAGCGAAGTAAGTTGGATTTTTAAAATGTGATATTTTTTTGGGGGGGGGGGGGGATGATTCGAGAAAAATATGCACCTACTTTGTTCCCATCACTCCGTTTTTGATATAATTTTTAGAAAACACGTTTACTGGTTTGAGTGACTTGAAGAACATCTGCTTGGCCATAATAGGCCAGTTTCTTCCGATGACTATACAGATAGATAATCCCTTTCGCTCTGTGTATGAAAACCACGGATCTCTCTCTCATTTTGGGAGTGCGTCTTACATGGGCAAGCAAGAGCAACAAACATCACCTTCCCCCATTAACGGAATGAGCAGCCTAATTACTGTGTGTCTTGTATTGTGAGAATTAATGTTTGTAAACTTCTTTCAAGAGGCTCAGATTAAAGATGCTGTACAAGTGGAAAGAATTATTCTCGAGAATGAGGAGTTGGGCCTCTTGGAACAAGGCAAAACATGACAAGAATTCCGACAGTGAACTGTAATCACTTGAAGTGGCGCATCAGCTGGGCTCTTAGGAATATTAATGGGAGTTCGGTAAGAACGAAAGCAGCCTCTGAATAATGTGCAGCACCTCCGTTTAGCTCTGTGGAATCAACTGGCGCAGCCTTCAGGACTCGGTTTGAGTTCATTTGTTGTTGTGGTTTTTATGCATCCATATGTTGGCACTCAGGTTGGTTCAGAGTTGCCTTTGTTGAGAGGGACTGCGCATAAATTGGATGGAGGGAGGGAAGGAGGGATAGATAGATAGATAGGCAGGCAGGCAGGCAGATAATGGATAAACAGACAGATATGATAGATTAGAAGATAGATGAGAGAGAGATTGAGAGATTAGATAGATAGATAGATAGATAGATAGATAGATAGATAGAGGATAAACAAACATGATAGATTAGAAGATAGATGAGAGAGAGAGATTAGATAGACAGACAGACAGATAGATACATAGATATAAATAGATAGAAAGATTAGAAATAGATTGAGATGGATGATGGATGGATAGATAGACAGATTAGAGAGACAGATTAGAGAGATAGATAGAAAGATTAGACATAAATTAAAGACTGAGAGAGAGAAATAGGATAAACATAAACAGACATGAAAGATTAGGATGGATAGATAGATAGATAGATAGATAGATAGATAGATAGATAGATGCGGATGGATGGATGGATGGATAGATAGATTGATTGATAGATAGATGTGGGTGGATGGATGGATGGATGGATGGATGGATGGATGGATAGATAGATAGATAGATAGATAGATAGATAGATAGATAGATGCGGATGGATGGATGGATGGATGGATGGATGAATGGATGGATGGATAGATAGATAGATAGAGGTGGGTGGATGGATGGATGGATGGATAGATAGATAGATAGATAGATAGATAGATAGATAGATAGATAGATATGGATGGATGGATGGATGGATGGATGGAAAGATAGATAGATGTGGGTGGATGGATGGATGATAGATAGATAGATAGATAGATAGATAGATAGATAGATAGATGCGGGTGGATAGATTGATTGATTGATTGATAGATAGAGGTGGGTGGGTGGATGGATGGATGGATGGATAGAATGGATAGATGACAGACAGACAGACAGACAGATATAGACACACACACACATACACATTTTCCACAGGTCCTTCTCACCAGCTGCAAGCAGAGGCTTTCTCGTGGCCTTTTGCACATGCTCAGAAGCCCTAACCTTACAGCACCATCTGAAACCAAGACATCCCTTTTCACTTTTTCCAAAAGCTTTCGTTGAGTTTTGGTTAACCTTGAGCTCAAAGGCGTCATAATTCCCAACGCAGTCGAATTTTTATTGTCGGCATCTGAAGTTTTTTTTTTTATTTCAAAAATTGTGTCTGAATCATTGTGCAAACAGTGACGTTTCCATTTTTTCTCCAGGATATTCGTGTCAAATCGCTAAATTTCTTCCTTTTTTTTTTTTTTTTTTAAATAGGCCAAATCTGTCATCGGAGTTGGCCTGGGCATCGCAGTGGTTGCTTTTGGAGGTTAGTATAAATACGCTTCAGAATAATATGCCGTATGTTAACGTAATGCAAGTTATTAAGCAAAAAAGAAAAAAAATCAGGAATGCTACCTTTATACCCAGTGAGATTACCAATCCACCGGTATATTAAAAAAGTAAACTTTCCTTTGAGTTGACTCTGGTTTCTGGTGGCTGTATTGTGTGGCCTGCTGATTGGAGATGTAATCGGGGACAACTTTAAGTTTGAATCATTTCTTGATTGCTAGAGGGATTTTAAATCCTCCCAAGTCACAGCCTCCTGTTACAGTATTGTTTGGCAGTAAATTAAAAAAACAAAACTAAACCATTCCCGAATTGACACAATGATCTTATCTGGGCTTTGACCTAAATACAGTAGTGGCCAAAATTGTGGGAACCTATTGGGAAAAGTGTATTTTTGAGGTTTGACGGCTAATAACACCACTTTTTTTTTTGGAGTTTCAAGATAATCCTATTCCACTGCTGGAATGAATGGCCTGGGAATAGTCCAGACCTTCACCCAATGGAAAATCTATGGAGCTGACTAAAGAAACTTGTTAGTCAGAAATGACCCAACAATAAAACCCAGTTAATAGAAGCAATTATTCCATCTTGGTTCCACATTAGAACAACTGCAGAACTCAAAGACTTGGTTCACTCCATGGGAAGACATTGTAAGGCCGCAATTCATGCTAAAGGTTACCCTAACTAAGTATTAACTGACATGGAGATCATTTTTGTATATCTCGTTTTTTCTATGGTGATCATTTTTGTATATCTCATTTTTTCTACGTGTTTCACTTTTATTCTATCTACTGTAACTGCTGTTCTAATAGCAAATCCTTCCTAAAAGTTATTGCATTACATTCTTGATTAAATTATCTTTCCACCGTTATATAATTTTATGGTACTACTCCCAAAAAAAGTGGTGTTATTAGCTAGTTTTAGAAAATACACTTTTCCCAAAAGGTTTCCACAATTTTGACCAATAATGTAGAGGCAGCTCTCGACGTACGACCATAATTAAGCCCAAAATTCTTGCAGCAAGACTTTTCTTACCATATTCCTTAAGTGAATCTTCTGCCGTTGTTAAGTTAGTCACACGGTCGTTAAACGAATCTGGCTTGCCCGTTGACTTGGCTCATCAAAAGGTCGCAAAAGGGGATCACGTGACCCCGGGAGGCTGTGACCGTCATAAGTACGAGTCACGTTCCCAAGCAGTTGAGTTTTGATCCCATGACCAAGCTGGGCGCCTCACGTGACCCTGGGAGGCTGCGACCGTCATAAGTACGAGTCATGTTCCCAAGCAGTTGAGTTTTGATCCCATGACCAAGCTGGGCGCCTCAACGGTCACAAGTGTGAAAAACAGCCAGAAGTCACTTTTTTTCTGCGCCGTCACAACTTCGGACGGTCACTAAACGAACCTGTTGTAAAAACCTGAGATTCCTGCCCTTATTTTTTCTTGAAATAAGTTAACACCCAACGTTTGCTTTCTGTGAACTTCCTGGAAGAGATGGATTTGGAAGAAAGAGACCCAGACATTAAAAAGAGTTTAATACGGGGGTGAAATGCTCCCGGTTCGGACCGGATCGCTTGATCTGGTAGCGATGGCGGCGGGTGGTTCGGAGAACCGGTAGCAAAAATCTACAACCTCTTCCGACGAAAAAATGCTTTTAAAAGTTAAAAAAAAAAAAAGCCTCTGATGATCGCGCGGCTCAGCTGGGATCGTCAGAGGCTTTTCAAAGCATTTTTTTTCTGCAACCTCTTGGCCGAAGAGGTGGTAAAAAAAATGCTTTGAAAAGTCTCTGACGATCCCAACTGAGTTGCCTGATCGGCAGAGAGGCTTTTCAAAGCATTAGAAAAAATGCTTTGAAAAGTTTTTTTTTTTTTAAAGTAGGCCACGCCCACCCAGTCACATTACCCCCCCCACCAAGCCACTCCCACAGAACCGGTAGTAAATAAATAAATAAGTAAGTAAGTAACAAATTTTACATTTCGCCCTTGGTTTAATACCAGCGTAATATTTTTTTGACAAGCAAGTATTTTCTGAAAAAGAGATTTTTTTTCCCCCTATAACGCTGTAAAAATGAAGACCGATTTCACCTGCCAATTTTTCCTCCTGCTGGACTGGGCCAGACTCCAAAACCAGCCGCCGGGGAAACCGTCTAAATCAAAAAAAAGGGCAACAGCTAATAAAATGCGGGGGAAATAAAATTAAATACTCGGTTTTCTGGCCGAAAGTGCTAGTGCTGCATATACTTCTCTATAGCAGCTATACAGATGTTAAGTTGCCTTTGGTTTCAATATTTTATAGGTCGTTACGCGTTCCAACTCCGGAAACCTTTAGAAGAAATCTTCTCCCAGGTAGCAAGGAACATTTCAGCTACTGTAAGTTGAAATCTTAGATCATCTTTCATAACGTTAGAAGGTGGGGGAAACACACTTCTTCATAGAGTTGGAATTGGGTATGTCTAGTTTAATGAAAAGAAGGATTGGGGGAGACATGATAGCAGTCTTCCAATATCTCAGGGGCTGCCCCAAAGAAGAGGGGGTCAATTTATTTTCCAAAGCATCAGAAGGCAAGGCAAGAAGCAACGGATGGAAACCAATCAAGGAGAGAAGCAACCTGGAATTGAGGAGAAACTTCCCAACAGTGAGAACAGTTAACCAGTGGAACAACTTGCCACCAGAAGTTGTGGGTGCTCCAACACCGGAGGTTTTTAAGAAGATGTTGGACAACCATTTGTGTGAAGTGGAGTAGGGTTTCCTGTCTAAGCAGGGGGTTGGACTAGAAGACCTCCAAGGTCCCTTCCAACTCTGTCATTCTGTTCCATTCTACACTACCTTACCCTACCCTACCCTACTGTTGTGCAGAGCTTCATAAATACACACACACTTACAGGTATATACAGATATATGATATATACAATTAGTCCTTGAGTTATAACAGTTCATCTAGTGACATATAGGGCCAAAAGCCCTACTAAGCAGGTATATACAAAAGTATGAAGGCTATTGCTTAACGCATTGTAAGCCGCCCTGAGTCTCCGGAAAAGGACGGCATATAAATCGAACCAATCAATCAATCAATCAATCAAACAAACAAACTATAGCTATAGCTACACACACACACACACACACACACATATACATACATACACACAAGTGCTTATTTCGGGGTTCAAAAAATATAAGACAGAGTCTTATATGGTATATATATTAGGATCTGCTTGCTGTGCAACTTACTCATGCTGGAGGAGCTGGGGAGGGCGCGAAAAGCGAGGCCGGCCTCTCCTGTTGGCTCTGGTGTGAGGCAGAAGCTCCCCAGCTCCATCTATTATTAAAATCCTATTTGTCTCTGACCTAAATCCGCCCCCACTCTCCCGTTCGTCTCTTTGTGTCTGCCTAATCTCCCTCCGCTCGGCTGGCCTGCTCCTTTCCTTTTATTCCTCTCCTCTTCCATTCGCTCCACTCCCACTCCCCAGCTTTTATATACACGGATTTTTCATATATATACAAAAACAACAATTACCCCACACACCCTTCTATTATCTATCCCCTGCCTATTTCTGTGTTGAATGAGTGGGTCTGGCCGAGAGTTTAGCAACCCCGAGCATGAGTTTGATGGAACACTGCCTGTTTTTACCTCCCACTCGATTCTGTAGGCGGTAGCTGTAGCTCTCAAAAACGTTAAACTAAAATTAGTTTCTTATTATATTGGTAAATGCGAAGGTGCTGAGAGAGAGAGAGAGAGAGAGAGAGACTGGGCCATCCATCAGCCCTCAGATGGAGAGTCAACAGCCCCCAAGTCCGGAGGTGGCTGATGAGGAAGAGGAGGAACAGCTGGGTCCAGTGCCTGACACGTAGATGCACAGAAGGCAGAGGAGAGGAGAGCAGTGGAAATCTATGGGCCGGTCCTTGGGACAGAAGAGCCACCGCTGCTAGTGAAGCCCCTCCCTAGCTCTGGGGATGAAAGGCAGGGGGCAGAGGTGAATAGATGTGGAAGACAACTATTCTTCGCCCTGCCAGACAGACTTGTTAGCCTACAGTGAGAGAGAAATTTCTTGCCGGGGCTGCCGGCGCTCTTAATAAAGGAATCTTTGAGTTCACTTCAGAGGGTTTGTCGTGTTTGGGGAGCTGGATCAGAACAGTTGAGAAGCAGTTGAGAAGCAGTTCACAGTGTGACTTTGACTGGGAAGATAAATGAGGGTGGAGGTTCCTTCTCCGAGCTTGTGGGTCGGTTTCCGAACATTTCGTTACCAGCCTAGGTAACATCTTCAGCAGAGTTTAAGGGGTGACAGTTCCTCTGTTTATAAGGGCTTTGTGTGGTCTTGTGATGGGGAGGTCACATCACACGAGGGTCTTGAGATGGGCCTTGAGATGGGTCAGGTGTGGTCACGTCAAATATGGGTCTTGTGATGGGAGGTCATCTCAGGTGAAGGTCTTGTGATGGGTCTTGAGATGGGTCAGGTGGGGTCACAACATTTCACTTATAATAGGACAACGGAATTGGAAGGGGCCTTGGAGGTCTTCCAGTCCAACCCCCTGCTCAAGCAGGAGACCCTACATCTGTGATGGCGAACCTATGGCATGCGTGGCACAAGTGGCTACCCTATCAGTGGGCATCTGAGCTCAGCTCCGCCAGCTGATTTTCGGGCCTTCTGGGCCCACCAGAAGTAGGGAAAGAGGCTGTTTCCTGCCTCCGGAGGACCTCGGGAGTTAGTGGGGATGGCCTGTTTTTCTCTCTCCCCAGCCTCCAGAGCCTTTCTAGGAGTCTGGGGAGGGCAAAAACGGCTTCCCCACCCTTCCGGAGGCCCTCCGGAGAAGGAAAACGGCCCGTTTGCCAACTTCCTGCCTCTGGAGGACCTGCAGGAGGGTGGGGAAGGCAGTTTTTGCCCTCCCCAGACTCCTAGAAAGGCTCTGGAGGCTGGGGAGAGCAAAAAATGGGCCTACCGTGCCATCGTGTGCCAGGAGTGGGGGGGAATGTCACTCGCACATGCGCAGGGGCAGGGTGCATAGAATTATGGGTATGGGCACGTGCGTGACCCCTACCCACCCACCCTCCACTCCTGGCACATGATGGCAAAAGGGTTAGCCATCACTGCTCTACACCATTCTGCACAAATGGCTGTCCAAACTCTTCTTAAAAATCTCCAGTGTTGGAGCACCCATAATATGTCCCACTGATTAATCGTCCTCACTGTCAGGAAATTCCTCCTTAATTCCAGGTTGCTTCTCTCCCTGATCCGTTTCCATCCGTGGCTTCTTCTCCTGCCCTCAGGTGCTTTGGAGAATAAATTGACCCTCCCTTCTTTGTGGCAGTCTCCTTAGCTTTATTTATTTATCTTGTTTTATTATTTCGCTTGCTCTGCAGCTTCTCATTATTAGACCTCAACCCCAAAAGTACTTGGGACAGATGTCACTCTTGCAGCTCTCGCGGTTATTAATTCCTGGCCACAAAATCAATTTTATCCAAACCGCTTCCTGTTCTTAAATTTATGAGTGGGCGGTTGACCCTCAAAGTTCGCTCTTTCTGGACACGGAGCAAAAAAAATAAAAAATAAAAAAATGGAGAAAGTCACTTGGGATTTGTCAAATTAGCATTTTCTTTGATGGACACTAATTTGGAGAAGCCCTTATCCAAGCAGCTTAGATTTCCTGCTTTGAAAGAAGGCCGATGCGCCAGCTGTGAGCTTTTTAAAAATTAAAGAAAGATCTCTCTTGGTTTTTGCCCGAGGCAGGTATAACATCCTCAAAAATGATGGGGATTCAGGGTGTCAGCAGGAAAGAAAACGCCGTCCACAGCCCTTATTTTTTTTTAATGCTACTATATTTCTTTATTTTCTTTTTAAGGTGGCAAATGGCCGATGGGTCTTGTCTCTCCAAATGGCTAAAATTTGGAATCAATTCTAAAGAAACTGGTGTTTATTCCTAAATCAAACTAATTTACAGCTAAACTAAAAAAAAAAAAAAAAAATCCAGTTGCAGATCCATAAATAACATATTTTCCTCCCTTGAAAATGCAGGTAGTCCTCGACTTAGAACAGTTCGTTTAATGACCTCTCGAAGTTACTACGGCACTGAAAATAAAGCTACTTAGGATCGATTTGCGATAGCGGCCACAATTGATGGATTATGATCGATTGTCACACTTATGGCGGTTGCAGCATTCCCCCATATTCACGTGATCTAAATTCAGAGGCTTGGCAACTGACTAGTACTTATGACCGTTGCAGTGTCCCAGGATTGTGTGATCACATTTTGCAACCTTCAGCAGATGAATCGCTGAAACTAATCCTGATAGGTTTGTTCTCTATGTTGCGCCACGCGTTTTTGAAGTGGCTGTTTTGTTTCCCCAATGTACAAATCTGCATAGACCAGGAGTGGGCAAATATGGCCCCTTTATGACCTGTGGACTTCGACTCCCAGAATTCCTGAGCCAGCTTGGCTGCCTCAGGAATTCTGGGAGTTGAAGTCCACAGGTTGTAAAAGGGCCAAAGTTGCCCACCCTTGGCATAGACAATGTCTATGGAGATTCTCAGTCGTCCAGGTCATGGTTGTCCCAAAAGTGTTTTTTTCAAGAGGCAACTGGACTTTCTGGTTTTTCTTTGAAGATGTTTCGCTTCTCATCCAAGAAGCTTCTTCAACTCTGATTGAATGGTGGGGAATGGAAGGATTTATACTCCTTGCAGACAGCTGGTCATTTGCATCATTTTAGAGGATCATTGAGGCCACTTGGAAGTTTATCTGTGTCCTCAAGGTCACCTGAATAGTGCAAATGAGTGTGGAGCCTTCTTGGAACTGCTGAAAGGACTGTGTTGTAGACTGGAGATAGATGATGCCATATCCCTCCCCCTCTGTCGAGAGAGGGATGTTCAGTTTTGAGCTAGATGGCCTCTTTGACCCCTCTTTCAAACCGGCAGTCCTCTCTGTGCAAAATGTGGACTTTGCTGTCTTCCAAAGAGTGACCTTGGTCTTTCAAATGCAGATGGACTGTTGAATCTAGTCCTGATGGGTTTGTTCTCCTATGTTGCGCCACGCGTTTATGAAGTGGCTGTTTTGTTTCCCCAATGTACAGATCTGCATAGACAACGTCTATGGAGATTCTCAGTCATCCAGGTCATATGTTGTCCCAAAGGTGCTTTTTCAAGAGGCAACTGGATTTTCTGGTTGTTCTTTGAAGAGGTTTCGCTTCTCATCCAAGAAGCTTCTTCAGCTCTGACTGGATGGTGGAGGATGGAAGGATTGTTTCCATACAATCATTCATTTAGTGACTGTTTGACTTATGAGCATTTTTCTCACGACCGTTGCATCATCCCCTTGGTCACATGATCAAAATCCAGGTGCTTGGCAACTGACTCAAGTTTATGATGGTTGCAGTGTCCCGGGGTCAGGTGATACCCTTTAGTGACCTTCTGACGAGTCAGTGGCGAAGCCAGATTCACTTAACGACCATGTGACTAACTTAACAATCGTTCACTTAACGGTGGCAAGAAAGGTACTAAAATAAAAGGGGCGAAACTCACACGTCTCACTTAGCGACATAAAATTTGTGCTCCATTGTGGTCATAAGTCAAGGACTACCTGGGTGTATTGCCCATTTATTTCTATTTATATTCTTTGCTTCTTCACCGAAAGACCCAAGCAGCCCCAGATGAAAAAAACAGGAATCGTTTACAATTTAACAGATAGTCCTCAAGTTACGACCGCAACGGAGCCCAAATTTTCTGTTATTAAGCAAGACATTTGCTAAGTGAGTTTTACCCATTTTACGACCTCTCTTGCCGCAGTTGTTAAGCGAATCACCAAAGTCGCTAAACGAGTAACATGGTCGTTGAGTGAATCTGGCTCCCTTGTTGACTTTGCTTGTCAGAAGGTTGCAAAAAGGGATCACGTGATCCCGTCATAAATATGAGTCAGTTGCCAAGACTCCGGATTTTGATCACGTGACCCTAAGGATGCTGGAAAGGTCATTAAGTGCGAAAAATGGTCGTAAGTCCCCCTTTTCAGGGCCGTTGTAACTTTGAACGGTCACTAAATGAAGTGTTGTAAGTCAAGGACTCCCTGCACAGTGAAACTCGGAGGGTTTTGGGCGAGAAGGACGACATCTCAGCACGGACTTCACCCTCTGCATAATTCCCTAATTATCGTCGTTAACTTCATTTGTGGCCATTTACACTACTCCCGCAATTGTGTAATTTCACAAATGAACAAAGGGACGCCACCGACTAAATTACATCAATTACCGCATAATGTAAATTAAGTTAATTATGTAAAAAAAAAAAATCACATTTCATGGGTTATTAATGGACACCTGTTTCTCCTAAGTGCTCGGTAAAAATTGGGATTTTATCGTATAAGAGACTCTATAGTCTTTTTCCCACCCAGCCAAGAAGTGGGAAAAAAGGAAGAAAATGAACATTTCTCTTTTACTCTCTGATTCCTGAATGGGGTTTTCCCAGATTATAGGATAGGATAGGATGGGATGGGATAGGAGAATATACAAAATAGAATAGGATAGGATAGGATAGGATAGGATAGGATAGGACAGGACGACAGGACAGGACAGGACGACAGGACAGGACGACAGGACAGAACAGGACAGAAAATATGGAATGGAATAGGATAGGATAGGATAAGAGGAATGAAGAATGGAATAGAAAATGAATGGAATATTTTATTGTCTCTGCTAGATAACCAGTAAAGATATGATGGGATATAAGTTAAATAAATACACACACACACACACACACACACACACACACACACACACACACACTTAATGACAAGATTTCCGGTCTCAGTTACAATTGTAAGCCAAGGACTCCCTGGTGTAGATACTTTAAATAGGCTGCTCCCTCTTTTCCAATACCTGCTGCCATGGGTCAAATAAAATATTCTTTTGTGGTTATTCCCACGTCCTGTTTCTGCCTCCCTTTGCCGAAGGCAGACGGCAGGATGCAAACTTTCGTCTATGTTGTTTTGGGGCTTTTTTTTTATTATTTAAAAAAACCAACCTAATTAGCAGCCCCAGATGGCCAACTTGGAGATTGGAGGACACGCCGCTCCAGGTAAAGTTATTTAATTTTTAACTCGGCTGCTTTTTCCAAATATAAATCTAGGCTTCCTGCTTCTTTCTGCAGAACGTGGTGGTTTCTGATTATTATTCTGGAACCGCCATTTCGTTGCTTCGGAGCAGAATTCTATCCTTGTGATGGTTTTGATGCTCTTGTGTTCCCTCTAAAATTCCCCTTTTATTTTGTTCACAGACCGTTTCTTCGTATTACAAAGGCGGATTCGAATCGAAAATGAATGTTCGGGAAGCTAGTCTTATTTTAGGCATAAGGTAAGCCTTTTGTCTTTTTTTTTTTTTTAAATGAAACGATTTTTATTAGTTTATCTTGTAACATACAAAAAATGCAAATAGCAAATAGTAGGAAAAATAGGGAAGGAAAAAGCGTGGAAAAGAAGGGGGAGAAAGTAAGAAAAGGCATTGACTTCTGACTCCCTTTGGTGCAGGAGAATAAGATAATAACATCAAAGCTCAACTTTTTAATTTGACATAATAGTTTAAAACTATTTTTTAGTTTTTAGAACCGTAAATCTATCTAATCGGTCAAACCCAAAATCAACATTTCAATTTTTTTCCCCACCTCAAGCACAAAGTCCAGAAGCGGTTTCCAAGTAGGAATAAAAGTATTTATATTTTTCTTTCTTGGATCAAAGCAGCCAATTTAGTTCAACTCTGCCAACTTCATCTTCTGCAGCCCTTCGTCCGTTTTGGGGATCAAAATGTCCTTCCATTTTTGTGCATAAAGTAATCTTCTACTGTCAACATATATAACATCAAAGTTCCAATTTTTTTCAAAGTCTTTTAGGATAGACTAGACTAGAGTAGAGTTGAGTTGAGTAGAATATTGGAATGAAGAGTAGAGTAGAGTAGAGTAGAGTAGAGTAGAATAGAATAGAATAGAATAGAATAGAATAGAAATTAAATAGTAGAATAGAATAGAATAGAATAGAATAGAATAGAATAGAATAGAATAGAACAGAACAGAACAGAACAGAACAGAACAGAACAGAACAGAACAGAACAGAACAGAATAGAACAGAATATTTAGAATGTAGAATGTAGAATATAAAATGGAATGGAATGAAATGGAATGGAATAGAAATAGGAATAGGAATAGGAATAGGAATTTTGTTGTTGTTAGTTGCAAAGTCTTGTCCGACCCATCACAGCCCCATGGACCACGTTCCTCCAGGCCTTCCTGTCCTCTACCATTCTCTGGAGTCCACTTAAGTTCACGCCGACTGCTTCCATGACTCCATCCAGCCACCTCGTTCTCTGCCGTCCCCTTCTTCTTTTGCCCTCCATCGTTCCCAACATTAGGCTCTTCTCCAGGGAGTCCTTCCTTCTCATTAAGTGGCCAAAGTCTTTGAGTTTCCTCTTCAGGATCTGGCCTTCTAAAGAGCAGTCAGGGTGGATCTCCTCTAGGACTGACCGGTTGGATGGCCTTGCAGTCCAAGGGACTCGCAGGAGTCTTCTCCAGCACCAGAGTTCAAAGGCCTCCATTCTTTAGCGCCCAACCTTTCTTATGGTCCAACTTTCCCAACCATCCATTGCAACTGGGAAAACCAGAGCCTTGACTATACAGGAATAGGAATAGAATAACTTTATTGTCACTTTGAATGTACACTAATTGGCATACGTTAAACATGAAATTTCAGTGCATACAGCTCTTAAAGGGTCACCATCTCCAATTTTATTTATTTATTTATTTATTGGTTGGATTTATATGCCATCCTTTCTCTGGAGACTGAGGGCGGCTTACAATGCGTTAAGCAACAGCCTTCATACTTTTGTATATACCTGCTTAGTAGGGCTTTTGGGCCCTCCTAAGCGGTGTTCTTTTTTTATATATATACAAAGTCAGCTTATTGCCCCCACAATCCGGGTCCTCATTTTACCTACCTCGGAAGGATGGAAGGCTGAGTCAACCTTGAGCCTGGTGAGATTCGAACTCGCAGTAATTGCAGGCAGCCGGTGTTACTTAACAGCGCATTAGTCTGCTGCGCCACCAAGGCTCTTACACTGCATAAACATGGCTAAATAAATAACTAAATAAATAAATGTGTACATACCCACATATATTATATTTTTTCCATGAAGCCCAAAAGAAAAGTCTCTGGTTTTCTCTTTATGTTCACTTTAGGAATTTTCTGCATTAGGATATGCATCCTTATACTCCCAATATTTCTTTGCTTTATCACACGTCCACCATAAATGATAAAAGGTCCCTTCCTTCTCTACATTTGCATTTCCAACCTTTCATGTGAAATACCTTTATACACTCTTGCCAACTTGTCTGGAGTTAAATACCAGGAGGTAAACCTTTTGCCTTGAAAAGAAGATTTATCTGAAAGAGATACCAGTGCGGAATTTAACCGCTGCTCGACAGCTCTGGGGCCTTCGAAAAATAAATGCCATTTTATAGCTGTCCTCCTGCACTTTGGAAAGCCAGTTAAGTTTGTGTCTTTTTATACAGTGTCTTTTGAACCTGTTATTCAAGATATGCCACAAAATAAAATAGTAGCATTGAAGCAGGTACAAGAGGAATTGAAGATGGAAAAGGGATCACAGGCGGTCCTTGACATTCATTTCATTTAGTGGCTGTTTAAAGTTATAGCGGCAATGAAAGAATTGAATTTACGGTCATTTTTCACACTTATAACCATTGCCTCATCGCTGGGGTCAGGTGATCAAAATTCAGATGCTTGGCAACTGACTCTATTTATGACGGTCATAGTGTCCTGGGGGGGGGGGAGGTGTCACGAGACCCCCTTTTGCAACCTTCTAACAAGCCAAGTCAATGGAGAAGCCAGAGTAACTCAACAACTGTGTTACTCACCTTAACAACGGCAGTGATTAGCTTTAATGACCGTGGCAAGGAAGGTCGTAAAATGGGGCAAAGCTAATTCCACAACTGTCTCGCTTAGCAAGGGGAAGGATTGAGCTCAATTGTAGTTGTAAAGTCGAGAACCACCTGCACAGTTAAATTTGCATCTTTTTATACAGTGTCTTTTGGATCGGTTATTCAAGGTATGTTACAAAATAAAACGATGGCGTTTAAACCAGTGGTGAAATCTGAAATTCGGCGAAGAGGTTGTAAAAAAATGCTTTGAAAAGGCTCTGACGATCCCAGCTGAGTTGCCTGATCGGCAGAGGCTTTTTTTTCTTTTAAAAGCCTCTGATGATCAGGCAACTCAGCTGGCATTATCAGAGGCTTTTAAAAGCATTTTTTCTAAAATGCTTTTAAAAGCCTCTGATGATCCCAGCTGAGTTGCGTGAACATCAGAGGCTTTTTTTTAAAAAAAAAATTAAAAGCATTTTTTCGGCCAAAAAGGTTGTTGAAAACAGAAAGGAAGCATGAGCAAATGGTTAATACATGTTTTATATATTAATTTAGAATATTAACTCTGATAGTATTTAAAATGTACACAGATTTAAATGTAACACAGAAATTATGATACTTCAAGAAAAAAATGGAGCACATAGAAATTTCCCTATTGTGCAGTTGACTATTAAAATATCCCAAATATTCCATTCCATTCTCTATTCTATTCTATTCTATTCTATTCTATTCTATTCTATTCTATTCTATTCTATTCTATTCACCCAAGTTTTTTTAAAAAAAAAAATTCTTGAAAGGTGTAGTACTCTCTTTCATCACCAGATGGCAAAGACCTCTAGAATTGTATGTTTTCTGAAGCAATGCAAATTTGCTAGTTTTCCGCTGGCAAGACTCCTGATTTATGCTAAGCGCTCTAAATATATATTTTACAGTCCATCTGCTGGCAAGGCCAAGATTAGAAATGCTCACCGGAAAATCATGATTCTGAACCACCCAGATAAAGGTATGTTTTGTGTTTCAATCAATATTTGTTGGCTCGGTGACATCCAACCCCCCCCCTCTCTCTTGAAATGCACCCCATTTCTCTCTCTCTCTCTCTCTTGAAATGCACCCCATTTCAAAGCAAACCTTAAAACATTTGCGTAAAATGCTTGAATAAAACAGATTTAGCCTTCTAAGTTAAAAATGGCTGTCTTTTGGGTCATTTACAAAATCGTAGCCATAACTACCGTGTTTCCCCGAAAATAAGACCGGGTCTTATATTAATTTTTGCTCCAAAAGACACATTAGGGTTTATTTTCTGGTTAGGTCTTATTTTGGGGGAAATACGGTACTAAATGCATCCATCTGGCTGACAATCTTAACTGGGGCTTATTTTGTGGGTAGGGCTTATATTACGAGCATCCTGAAAAATCATGCTAGGGCTTATTTTCCAGTTGGGTCTTATTTTCGGGGAAACAGGGTAGCTGTCAGGTACCGAATTTCCAGAATTGGATACATCAAACTTAGGTTTGGAAAAATAATGTAGTTTATTTGAGCAGAATCTTTACAGCCATAAATAAGGGGGAGATTTATTTTTTTTTTATTTTTTTTGGAGAAATGTGTTATAAAATGACAAATTTGTATTAGTTTTTAGTGCTGCGAAGGACTCTATAGCTTGTCACAGATGCTTTAATGAGCCAAGTTTTTAATGCAAACAGATCTCCCCTCCCCCAAAAGCTCTTATTATAACTTTAACTACACTACAGCTGGTTGAAAAGGAAGACCATATGTTCATTGATGTACTCTGCACTTCGAAACAACAGATGGGTGAGAGTTACTCAGTATTTAAAAAGCCCGAAAAAGGGGGGGAGTGAAGGTTTGTTTTTTTTCATATCGGGCTGACAGATTTATTGTCTGTTCCTTTTCATTTCAGGAATATAAAATTAATTCTGACCTCATTAGGGTGAAAGGTGCATTTTGCCGATGGTACTGATTTAATAAATGACATTATTGGGAGTTTTGTATGAGTTGGGCTTGGTGCAGGCACAGACGAAAATCAATTTGGATGTAAACAATGATGAGTTTCATTAAACGATGATCTAAATAATGCCACTCTGGCTTAATGTGGCAGGCTTAGATACTGTGAGATCTCCTGGGCTGAGTGAGGGACTTATGTTTAGTTGTTTTAAAGAGGCTGTCTTCCAGTTAAGTACAATGTAGGATGCAGAGAGTGGATTTTGCTGATTAGATTTAATATCTCTGGAGCAGTGATGGGTTCCTCCTGGTTTTGTCCGGTTCAGCCGAGCCGGTAGCGGTGACAATATGACGTCACCGAACTGGTTCTCCCCCCCCCGCCCTCTCCCCCCACCCACGTTATTCTTACCTTTTATTTGGCCCCACCCCCAATCTATTGCTGCCTCCTGAGTCCCAGCTGATGACTAGAGGGAAAAAAAACTGTTTAAACTCTTGCCGCGGGACTTCAAAGGGCCGCCCTACAGCTGATCAGTGTTAAAAGCAAACAAATGAGTCGGGTCATAAGTGCGAGGACTGGTCGTAAGTGCGAGGACCTTCCAGAAATGACTCTGACCAGCTAGCCACGCCCACCTAGTCACATGACTTCCAAGCCACACCCACAAAATAAGCCACGCCCACAGAACCGGTAGTAAAAAAAATTAGAATCCACCCCTGCTCTGGAGCCTTGTCTTTTTATTTCTTTACAACTGAGGAATTATATCTGTGGGATCCTTGGTTTTTAGCAACACTAAATTCTGGGCTCAATTGTGGCCGTAAATCGAGGACTACCTGTATATAAAATCTCTTTGCCACAACTAATAACCATAGTATTATTAGGTTAGGTTCCAGCATCTGATTTCTTCTCTGATTTCTCTCGTTTTTGTCCTTCTAAGGTGGATCTCCATATCTGGCAACCAAAATCAACGAAGCCAAGGATCTGCTGGAATCAAGCAGGAAAAATTAAGAGATTTTCACCTCAGAAACTTTTTAGAGGCCACACAAAAACTTCTTCCTTTCCCATTTGTAGGGGAACCACAGCACAGAAACCAAACTTTGGGCTTGTTTAATAAAGTTTCAGCAGATTTGAAGACGGCGTTTCAGGGAGTTCATACTCAAATCCAGGCTCCACGCTTCAAAACTCATCATAAATGAGGGCCTCAGGGGGAATATTATCCTACAAGTGTAAAACCGCAATGCAGAAAAAGTTAGGATTGATATCCTCTTTTAATACGTCAAATCCAGGTTTTTAGTTTTTTGGCAGCAAAAAAAAAAAAAAAGGCTTTTGTTTCCTTTGAAAAACCAGAAGCGTTGTAGATTATAATGATTCATCATCTTTTAATAACCCATAATCCTGTGCGAGGTAGAGTGTGGGCAACTGAGTGGAGCTGAGTTTTTACTGGCCGGATGCCCTTCCTGTCGCCAATGTGGAGTTTTGTTCAGCAGATATATTCTCAGTGTGCCCAGAGAGAGAAATATCTGCCTCTATCTAGGATCGAACTCACAACCTCCGGACTGTGAGGCGAGAACTCCACCTCTAGGCCACCGCACCACTCTGTAGATTATAATGATTATAGTGTCCAAATATGAACTCCTAGTCCACCGTGAAAATTAAGAAATGGATGCTTTAGACATGTGAATTTACCCCATCTCAGAGAAGTGAGCAGCTCCTCTTTTACCTAAGCTACCTGTCTTATTATTAAATTTTAAATATTTTAAAGATATTTCTATTCGTTAGATGTTTTCGCTCTCCAGTGACTTTTTTCTGGTGGCACATTTTTGGTCTCGGTCCCGAGGCCTCAACTTGGATAAAAAGGTGTCCTCCCTTCAGCGAAGGGTACAAATTTGACATGTTCAATGAAAAGGTTTGATTGACTTTCACTAATGAGGCAGGTGTAACGGGGGGAAAAAAACCGTTCCGTTATCTCCGTGTGATCTGCCTTCCTTTCCCCCAAAGCAAAATTGCTCTAGTAAGCCATGAAAATATTTATTTTCGCTCGATTGTGCGAGACGACGCGAGCTGCAAATTCCCCCGTTGAATCCTTGCTCCTGTTGAGGGAAACGGTGTGTCAAAAGCTGAGGTAAAAATGGAAACAAACGTATATAAAAATTGTTGCCCTTCCGACATTCCACTTTGTGATCTAAATGACCTTCTGTTACACGTGAATATATATATATTTGCCTCTTTGTTTCCAACTGAATTTATTACGTCTATTTTGTGCAAGGCATATTTCATTCTTCCACCTCAAGGTTGCGGTAAGACCTTGTGTTTTTCAGCCCTGCTTAGTTTATGAATTAGGTCCCTGTTTAAATTAGGATAAGCTTTAAAGGCTGTCCAGTTATTCTCCAAAGGTTGATTTAATTAGTTTTAACCTCTCCCAACACGAGTTGTGAGAAGGAGTCCCAAACCTAAAAGCAAAGGCGCATTTTTGTACGAGGTTTTGAAAATAAGAAATGGCCAAAGCAAAGCAAGGAATGATGGCATTAATATAGAGCCGTGATGGCGAACCAATGGCGCATGTGCCACAGGTGGCATGCAGAGCCGTATCTTTGGGAATGCGAGCATTGCTCAGCTCCAGCGGGCATACGTGCGCCAGCCAACTGCTTTTTGGGCCTTCCAGGCCCACTGGAAGTCAGGAAATGGGCTGTTTCGGGCCTCCAGAGGGCCTCCGGGGCGGTGGGAAGGCTGTTTTCACCCTCCCCAGGCTCCTAGAAAGCGTCTGGAGCCTGGGGAGGGCAAAAAATGGGCCTACTGGGCCCACTGTGCCATCATGTGCCAAAAGCAGGGGAAGCGGGGGGAGGTCGCGCATGCATGCGCGGGGGGGTGGGGCACATTGAGTTATGGGTTTACACACGCACGCTCCCCCCGCTTTTGGCACGCAACGGCAAAAAGGTTAGCCATCACTGATTTAGAGCGTTCATGTCATTTTACGACAGAAAAACACCTGATTTATTAAAACTATATTCAGCCTTTCCACTACAATTGATGACCAAGGTTGTTTGCTAACAGTCAAGGACAAAAAAAAAAAGGAAAATTAAATAAATGCAAATTTTCTACTGAAATAAAAGCGAGTCAGTTGAAACCGAACAAAATTTGCAATTCCTTTTAACGGCCGTCAAGCGGAGTCAAAATTCCTTTCTTTGCAGAAGGCAAAATATTAAAATTATAGAGCTGGCTTAGAGTGGTAATGTTCGAGAGGCCTCAATTACCTGACAAGGCAAATGTGGGTTGCTTTGAGTTCACACCGTCAAGGTGACACCCTGAACTTACAATTGGGAAGCTGTTGTGTTGCTAGCGACGGGGTGGCAGTTTCCCGTATTTCTGATAGCTGGACTACTCCGGAAACACAGCATTTTGACAGGGGGTGCTTACGGTGTGCTATTGGAGTTGTGATTATGGTGGTGTTGCCATATCTGGGCCTGCAGTTGATGAACTGCAAAAGAACTCCTGGTCACAAGCTTTGGTGTCTGGTAGCTGAGTCCTCAAAGTGTCTTCACTTGGCAAATAAAATCAAAAGATGCCTGGAAATGGGTTTTTTCTTTCTTTAATCACTGCAAGAGAGAGAGAGAGATATGATAAAGATAGATAGATAAATAGATAGACCGACACATACATACATGCATACATACATACATACATACATACATACATACATACATACCGTATTTCCTCCAAAAGAAGACCGGGTCTTATATTAATTTTTGTTCCAAAAGACGCATTATGGCTTATTTTCCGGTTAGGTCTTATTTTGGGGGAAATAGAGTTATTAAATGCCTCCGTGTGCTGACGATCTTAATGGGCTTATTTTTTGGGGTAGGGCTTATATTATGAGCATCCTGAAAAATGCTAGGGCTTATTTTCTGGTTGGGTCTTATTTTCAGGGAAACCGGGGAGAGAGAGAGAGAGACAGACAGACAGACAGACAGACAGGCACATAATGGATAGATAGAATAGATACGATAGACGGGCAGATGATGGATAGAGAGATTAGATAGATAGATAGATAGATAGATAGATAGATAGATAGATAGATAGATAGATAGATAGATAGATAGATAGATGATAGACTGGGATAGATTTCTTTATGCCTGATATTAACTTCTGTCCTTCACGATGAAGATGGTCCTCTGAGCTCTTCTTATTTCAGGATCATCGTGGCCACGGAGTCCTCCCACCACATCAAAAATCCTTCAAATCCAGAATTACCCCACTCAAAACATCCGAAAATTCCTTCTTACCCAGTCCGAATATTGCCCTCGAGCAGTGTGGAATGGAAATGGAATAAATAAACAGCCAGATGTGCTTTACCTCCAGCCTTGCAAATTAATCCTTTAAAAATCTAAAACAGAGGTCTCCAAACCTGGCAACTTTTTAAGTTGTGTGGACTTCAACTCCCAGGATTCCCCCAGCCGGCTGAAGAATTCTGGGAGCTGAAGTCCACAGAACTTAAAAAGTTGTTAATTTTGGAGACCCCTTGACCTAGCATAGCAATAATCTCTGGCTGGCCTTTGAAGGAAACCCCAGCAGTTGAAAGAGAGCTTTGTGGATGGAGACTGAAAAGAGACGATTACAGAAACCCATTTCCCGCGAGAGAACGGCCCAGCTATAGTTATTTCTCAGTAATTTTGCAAAGTGAAGAAAAACTGTTCAACTATTTGTCTGGGAGTGAGATACACAACAGAATTCTGCTGGTTGATCAGTAAACTGCTGGTTGGTGTAAATTGCTTTGGGGGACAAATTGATCCAGTAAGTGAGGTGTGAAAAATTTGAGTCTTAAGGTTATAGACCGCGGTTCACATCCCTTCAGTTAAATGATGGAATACTGTGTTTGTCCTTCAGGCAGAATTCGCGATGAATTTGTTCTACAGACATTTCTTACAGAAAAAGATGACTTAATTAGTGAACATGTTTCTATTGATTTCCTTAGTTTCCTGGGTACAAATTGGGATGCATCTCATCTTACCTACCGGGAATGCCAATCAATCAAGGATCTACCAGACCGACCAACCATATCCCAAAATCCAGAACGAGCCAATAAATTAAAATCCTGAGCCACTTTATGAATACCCAAGCGTCCTAAATTGGGTTAAATTTAATTTCTGTCTTTGGACAACATAAGGTTCCCTTCCTTCCTTCCTTCCTTCCTTCCTTCCTTCCTTCCTTCCTCCTTCCTTCCTTCCTTCCTTCCTTCCTTCCTTCCTTCCTTCCTTCCTTTTTTCTTTCTTTCTCTGATACGAATTTTTATTTATTTCCAAGGCAAGAAGAGACTGGACTGCCATCTGTCAGAAATGGTGTAAGGTCTCCTGCTTGGGCGGAGTGGGGGGGTTGGATGAGATGACCTACAAGATCCCTTCCAAGTCTGTTATTCTATTCTAAGACGGCAATATTTCCAACCTGCATTTGACATTCACATTTTATACGTGATTTTGAGCAGCCAAGATTTCTGGGTTGCTCCCAGGAGTGAAAACAAGGAACAATTTTCCCAGAAGTGTTGTGAAATCTGTTATCCTCTTTAATTTCCTAAGCAGAAAGTAACTAATCTTGATTTCCCAGGTGACCTGGAAAAGAGATGACACAACTTCCTAAGCTCTGCCAAATGCAGCTTAATAAGCCAACAGAGCAGGCACTTTTCAAGTTTTCTCACGTCCAGATTCAGGTTGCCTATTTTTAAATATCAAGTGATTCACCAATTGCCAGAGATTTTTGGGTAGCTTAAGAGCCACCACTATCCTGACTGTGAAGATTCAAAAACACCACAATTTTCACTGTGGTTTTATACTGAAAGGGAAAACAGCAGATGTGTGACCAAGTACCTTTCACACCTAACTAAAGAAACTTCTTGGATGAGAAGCGAAATGTTTTCAAATGAAAAAAACAAACCAAGAATAGAATATGATAGGGCAGAGGAGGTGGTTAAAGATCAAATGATTGTGTGAGCAAAAATCATTGGGCATAGTATAAATTTGAATGATTGGGAAATAATTTGGAACAAGAACTACAAATTGACGAGAGCAGTAGCGTACAAAGAAAATCAATACAAAATGTTATACAAGTGGCATTTAGCCCCTACAAGGTTAGCAAAAATTTACCCAAATACAAATCCAAATTGTTGGAAATGCAGCCACCATCAGGGTACCTTCTTCCATATGTGGTGGACATGCCCCGAAGCGATGAAATATTGGGAAAAAATTCGAAAATGGACACAAGAAATAGTTGAGGAAAACATTGATTTGGCGCCTGAAACATTTCTCCTGGCAATACTAAAAAGGACATATGAAAAAAAAAGAGGTACCTAATTATACATATTATTACAGCTGCCAGAATAATATATGCACAATATTGGAAAGAAAAGGGACTACCACCGGAAGAGCATATAATCAGAAAAGTATTTGAATGTGCTGAGATGAGTAAACTAACATATGAGATAAATGATGATGAAAATTCAGAATACTATACGGTGTAGGAAGGGTGGTATAAGTGGATGGAAGATAAAATAAAAGAAGGAATAAGGGATGGTGCAACTACTAAAAGGAATAAGTAATTTAAGAGACACCATGTATGTAATCTGTATATATGTATGAACACTGCTTAAAATCTTTTGCAAAGTTCCAACCTTGGATGACTCTTGAATTAGCAAAAATAGACACTACGGCAGGAATATAGGAAATGTGTCTGTTTTTTCTCTCCCTCCCCTTCCCCCCCCTGCTTTTATTTTTAGGGATAGTTTGTTTAGCTACAGATTTCCCATGGATATCCAGAGAGTTCACACTCCGGGACCGTTTGCACACATCTTAACAATTTTGCCTTCTCTGTGGCTTAATTTAGCTGGTGGACGAATGAGCAAAGTTGAGAATTCTAGATTTGACTGATGGGTAAAAGGAAAGAGAGGAAGATGAGTGAATCCCTGTAAACAGGCTCTGGTAGAATTCCGTCCACTTCTTCACAAACAGTTGGAAAACTGAATCCAATTTTGGTCACCATGATATAAAAAAAAAGATGTGGAGGCTCTGGAAAGAGTGCCGAGAAGAGCAACAAAGATAATTAGGAGACTGAAGGACAGTGGTGGGATTCAGCCAGTTTGCACCTTTTTGGGAGAACCGGTTGTTAACTTTCTAAGCAGTTAGGAGAACCGGTTGTTGGAAGAAATCTTATTTTGTTTTTTTCCCACTTTACAGGGCTAAT